AGTTTATCATGCGGCGCGTGAAAACAGAAATATATTGGCGAAGCAGGGAGAAAATTAGCACACGAATCAAGGAACATCAGAGACTCTGCAGGAAAATGGATAGCGAAAGATCAGAACTAGCGGAACAAATCGCGCGGACTGGACACGAGATCAATTGGAAGGCAACAGAAAGAAGAGCCCCATACGGTGGCAACACAAGGAAGTGGAAGATAAGGAGGTCATTGAAATCCTTGGGGATACAAATCTAATGAACAGGAGATTGGATGAAGGTAGAGTTAGCGATAACTTTGCCTACTGCATAAGCAAATTCGGGGAAAACAAGGATAGAGCAAAACCAGCAAAAAGGAGACACCTGGATCAAGGGGACAGGGGTTTTCGGCAATAAAGCGAAGTCGTTGTCAGTGAGTGATGTCCATTTCGAAAAAGCCAGTGCAACTTCGGGGCCTGGCAGTCAGGGGGCTGGGCAGACGGATAACCAAACCGTCAGGGAAATTCGGCGTTATGGCCAAAATGTTCTAGAAATCCACTTGAGATGCCACATGAAGTGGTAGTGTACGTGCTTCTAGGGTCTTGTGAAATACCGCCTGGGGTGAAATGCACTTTGGCACTGGAACCGAGGGAAATCGGTCAACCAGAAAGTGAAGCAACGGATCTACGAGACAATGAGGGAGACGAGAATAGGAAGATTGAGTCGGATTAGCCGATCAAAGGAGATGGGGTCGGGGTGAATAGCAAGTGTGATGAGGCCACACTAGATTTACCACAAAAGTGCACACATTTTGACGAGTGGAATGTAAACAAGTGAGAAGTTGTGATAGGACGGCAGTGGGATAAGAGAGTAAAGAGTGTATAGATAGGCCAGGATAGAAAGGGAAGTGATATTGTAACCGTTTTCGGCAGAACGGTTGTCGAGGGATTGACTTCACTTGTCTCTTTGACGAGTCCGCAGCTTGTTGCGGAGACTGGCAAGACTCACTGATGATGCCGACTACGATGCCGGCGAAACATTTGAGAATGTACCAAGTCCACTATCTGATGCTGGGAATCATGACAACTGCTATGGCAGACGACTTCGGACTAGGTGCGTTCTACTAAGTCGCCCTGACAACAACAAGACCAAGTTGCGACAACGAGGTCAACCCACTTCCATATGAATAGAGTTGTCGTTTCCATTGCCTCTAACATAACCTTTTTTTATCAAAGGATCCTCTCATCCAAAGTGGACTGCAGTTTCGACCTCGCCAAAGTCCTGTCAACACCTCAAGCGTCTCATCTTGACACGTTACCCACCACGCCACATTGCCACCAGCTTGCTTGGGTCGCAGGGCAGATGTCATTTCTACCCGTTGTGGTACCTTGCCAAGAAGGGTCGTTTGCCCTGGTTTACATGTTCTACGAGGCAGGAGCAGCGTCTGAAAGACTCGCCTGCCCAAAGGCCCGATGCCGGAGGTGGGCACGACCAAATTGTACACATTTGGCCATACCAAAACCAAGCCCAACTTCAACCCTACCTTCAGCTCAAGCCCCTACCCCAACCGCAGTCGCAAGCGCAACCACGACTCCAGTCCTTTTCGACGAGGAAGCGCCAGTCTCGCGGAAGTTCGAGCTGGGCATAAGATCACCTTCAGGCCCAACATTGCGATCAGACGCCCAGCCGGTCGGATCACTGGCCGTCGCGGACACAAACTCTTCCATTGGGTCATCACACACACGCTTGCGTGAATGTGTGTATGCCAGCCTGATTGCCTTTACATGCATGCAATCGTAAGCAGATAGATAGACGCGTCAAACTAGGCACAAAAGTAGAAGGAGCCTTCTGCATGTGTGCATGCGTGCGTGTGTGCCATGCACTATTCTGAGTAGGGACTTGTGTAATGAGTGCCACTGTATGTGTGTATTTATGCATGTGAGTGTGTATGTATGTTTGTATGCATGTATGTATATACGGTTATGTGTTTTTGCGTATGCGTTTGTGTTTGTGTTTGCGAGTTTGTGGGCTCATACGTTTAGCCACGTGGGCTAAATTGAGCCCGGCACAGGATGATGGGTTTGTGCGTTTGTATGTTGGTGCCAAGGCAGCTCAGCACATTCATCTTGAGCTTTCTGTCAGCCTGACACAAGTGTTCTGTCGCTCTGGCATCGGTAGACCCAGCCTTTCTGCTATCTGTGCCCTATGCTGGTTCAATGAAATCACAACTCCCCCGACTCTATTCTACCCTCTGCTTCCTCTCTAACTCTCTCCCACCTCTCCCCCTCTCTCCCCCCTCTCGCGCTCTCTCGCTCTTCCTCCTTCGCCTTCACTACACCTTTCGTGCTCACCTACGCGCACACACACTGTCGCCTCATTGTTCTTTTACCGGCTGTCATCGCAACGCTATGTCTATCTAGTCTCTGTTATGGCGTCTGGAGGAAACAGATGAGGCAGATGAGGCAGATGAGGCAGCGACGCCACACAAGTCCTTCCGCGTCTGCCGTTTTGGGTGCCGGTGTCCAGACAAAACGCGTGTAAACGATGCCGGAGGCAGTTGCCGCGCATACGCGAGATAGGCAGACGTACAGTTGAGTACCTGCTCAGCGCACCCAAATAATGCACTCGATGCACAAACACACAAACATACACACACACTCACACACAATACACAATACACAATGCATATAGATGTACATCTATGATTGCTAGCATTTTCACACACATATGTAATTGCTATTTTTCTCTATCTCCCCCCCAAAAAGCACACACACCCGCACACATACACAAAGGCACTAACAAAAGCACCCATACACGCACAAACCCAATCAGCTGGTAAGACACATCAAAGTTGCATGGAAAATAGCAAAATAATAATGGTTTTGTCTGTTATCGTCAGGGGCGGAAGGAGCCTACAAACCCCTCCTCCGAAGGGGGGTTTACAAGACGGCAGAGAGAGAAATAGACAAATGGCTTGTTAGGAAGCTTGTTGGTGCTATGCTTCAGAGTCGATCCACTTCCAAACAATAGCTGCTATCGCAAGGTCGAAAGGAGCCAGTTGGCTTCTGACGAACTGGAGTCTATCGGCCATAATCGAGACTGTGTTTCACCATCCCATTGGTAGGGTTCAGACTTCCGTCAGACTTGGGTAAGAAACCCATCTTTGGGAAGACGAGGGAGGCTCTTGTGACCGGACGAGAGAATAGTGATTTTATGCCGATTACCGTCAGTCAGTCACTCTACGAATTAACTCCACTTTAGATGTCACCCTCACGTCAAAGCAACCAATTTGGTGGATGAATCTGTGCCGTCTATCTCTTGAATCTGTGAAACATTCGCGGAGGTCCCATCGTCTCAGACTAGCCGAGCTGGCCATCTGCCGCCGCCCATCCAGCTTCTCCTTCTTGCACTGCCTGTACCCATCCGTGAATTAGCCTCGACACGTGAAGAGGATGGAGACTACAAAGGCCGACCGCCCCACAGTGGGAAGGTAAAAGTAGTTCCTCTGATATGCAGACCAAGTTCTGGATTCTCCGAAGAAGAGGCACCGGCTGAATAGAAATTTTGCTATTTGCTGATACGGTACGTTGTCCTTACGCTATTTTTTTCATCTTCATTTCGGTATAAAAACACTTACAAAGTATGCTTTCATGTAAAAATGAACTAATTCCACATTGAATTACCTGATTCCACCAATGTTATATAAACAATAAAACGAAAGAGATGGTTTGATCTCATTTTCTTAAATTGATAATTATAAAGCGCATACTCCGTACTTTATCATCTGCCAGAGTAGTCTTGATTACGCCCAGACGTTGCCATGGCCTCCTCGAAGGTATCGCGAATGAAAACTGCTTTCTTAACATCAAGCAATGATCAATTTTCTCTTTAACTTTAGTGGCGTCTTTCCTCCCCCCTACCCTAACTTATCTCATCTTACCCACATACCTCATTCCCACTTCATATAGCCCATTCGCTTCAACATATCAACCAGATAGCCCTTCTTTTAATGAGTCGTACTTGCTTCTTGTCTTATCTCAATCGGTACCTCCGATCGGCATTCCACTACAACTAACTTCCATCGTTCAATCCCTCCTGCTCTTGAAAACGTCTGCCTAGTTTAACAAATTATGCATGTA